GATGGCAAAACGGCTTTGTTCTATTCTCTATACAATGAAAAGGTAACCCATGCAATAATTAAAGCTGGTGCTGATGTCAACATAATTGATAAGGATGGCAAAACAGCTTTGTTGCATGCTGTACGGAATCATCATGAAAAGGTAGCTCATGCACTGATTGAAGCGCATGCTGATGTCAACATAACTGATAAGGATGGCAAAACGGCTTTGTTCTATTCTCTATACAATGAAAAGGTAACCCATGTACTGATTGAAGCTGGTGCTGATGTCAACATAACTGATAATGATGGCAAAACAGCTTTGTTCTTTGCTGTGGACAATGAAAAGGTAATCCATGCACTAATTGAAGCTGGTGCTAATGTCAACATAACTGATAACATTGGAAATACACTCCTGATTTGTGTTTTTGACAATTCAAGGACGGTTAATAGCAAAAAGTGTGAAGTTCTCTTAAAGAGTGGATCAAGTTTATGTGAAACAACTAAGAAACAAGAATCAGTTTTTCATTTGGCTCTAAGTATTTGCCAAGACAACATTTTCAGTTCAGAACTTGGTGACCTACAGAAACACTCCATTTGGTTTGATATTATGGATGCCTTGAAACTTTTTTCCAAATCAGGCGAGAGTAAAGTGGCTGTCAATAAGCGAGACATGCATCTCAATTCACCACTTCACCTGTGGGCATCTTTTCATTTGGTCTCACCACTTGAATATCATAAAAACGTGTGTCATGGATACAGCTTTAAACATATGTTAAAGCGTGTCTTGGATGTACTTGTAAGCTGTGGAATAAAGCTAAACTACAGTAATGAACGAGAACAGACCCCATTGCACGTGTGCAAGACTTGGACTGCTGTGGAGCTCTTGTTAGACGCTGATGCAAAGCCAGATGTTACAGACTTATCTGGATGCACACCTCTTCTTACCGCTGTGAAGAGCACTAAATGCCTCGAGAAAGATTCAAAATGTTTCTTTCCTGATGTTGATCAAACTCCAGATGAGTTCTGGAAAGAAGTTCTCAACAGGAGACTTGATCCATGGACTGCTGATAAGGATGGAAATTCCGTTTTAAGCATCCTAGTCACGGAAGGAGCTGAATGTCTTACCACAGCCTTGATCGAAGCTGCATGTCATCTTAAGTGTGTGCAGTCAGATGCAATTGGAGTGCCTCTGCTCATTACCATTTGTAAAGACAAGTCCGTGGACAAAGAATGGAAAGTTGATCTTGTCAAGACCTTGCTAAAATATCGAAAGAGTCTTGCTCATACAAGTTTGAGCAACAAAGACACTGCTCTGCATATTAGTTGCAAGAACATGTTGGAGCTAACTGAAGAAAGTGTCAAGACTTCCGTGCATTGGAAAATTGCTCAGCATCTCATTTTGTGCGGAGCTGATGTTAAATCTGCTGATAAGGAGGGCAAATCCTGTTTGGACATAGCAGAAAGCTGTCCAGATCTCAAAGAACTTTTGTCAACGCCTGTCAACATTGAACAAGTGCCTCCTCTGATTGACTTATGGAAGGTACCAAACAAGGTATCAGGGAAGGTTTCAAAGACACATCAAGGCCAATTAGCAAAGGTTGCAAGAGGCTTTGATTCTCATCAAATTGAGACAGTTTTTTATTTCAAGGAAGCCTTAGACAATGGAACGTTTGGTCTGGTGTTTGTGGGAATGAACATAGAAGATGGAAAAGAAGTTGCTGTAAAGAGAATTGAAGCAATGAGGGTAGACATAGAAAACGTCACAAAAGAGATTGAAGACCTTAAATTGGTCTTGAGCTGCAGCAACGTCATTCAGTGTTTGCTATGTATCATTGATGACGATTTTTTATATGTGATCTTGGAGCTGATGGAAGGGAATCTTGACGATCTACTCCAAGAGGGGTACGATTTTGTCATCAATCAAGAGACCAAGCTTTGTAGAGATATTTGCACAGGATTAGATTATTTGCACAATCATGACATCATACACAGGTGTATAAAACCAAGTAACATTCTCTACCAAGGGATTCATTCAGAAATAAAACTGAAGCTTGCTTTCTTTGGTTTAAGAAGCCAGATGTGTGAAGAGCAGCGTACCTCTGCATTAACGGATACATATGAATCTCTGACTAAGGTGAGATGCTGGATGGCACCAGAAGTGTTGCAATCGCAGAGTCATTCCAAGTCTTCTGATGTTTTCTCGTGTGGACTTGTGATCCATTACATTCTTACTAACAAGAAACATCCTTTTGCTCGTCGTGGATCTAGCAAAGAAAACTTACTAGCAGTAAGTATTGAAACCGTTGAAAACATTGCTCAAGATAAAATAGAACTGGATGAAACTATATCATCTGATGCACATGACCTTCTGCAAGGAATGCTTGATCACTACAAGCGCAAGCGTATAAGTATTTCAAATGCATTGAAACATCTGTTCTTCAAGTAAAAGTCAGGAAACGTTGAACTTTTTAATTATTATTGATTGATAGATAAATAGATTAAGGTAGGAAGGGGGAGGGGGGCAGGAGATAATTCATAGACCTCTAGATTTGGGACGTTGATATTATCCTCTGAGGAATCGAAAGTTTTCTCAGGGAAATCAATTAACTTTTTCCTGCCATCCAACATGGCTGTCGTAATTGAAGCAATGTGCCTTAAAATTTACATGCATTTTACTTTAATCGTATTCCAAAGAATGTACAAAGTAAACCATGCATGTAAAATATATTATYCATTAGTTAGTGTTACTCAAACAGAAATATCTTTTACAGTACTGTCAGTGTTTAATATACAGTGAGGGGCTGGGAAGATAGGATAGGTGGGAATAAGTCTAGCTTCTTGTGCAATTGCGATATAATTTCTTTATTATACAATTACATTTAATTGTCTTTGGCGCCCTTGTTCCATGAGAGAATGAAAGCATTGGAAATCAAGAAATTCCAGGATGAGAAAGAAAATCGAAAAATTCTCTGGTTCAGGAAGAAAGCACTGGGTTTATGCTAGAAACTAAATCTATAAGCATTCACATCATGGAGTTGAACTCCGTGCCTATCATTGACCAGAGGCAATAAATTATTGCCAGAGAAAAAATTACAGTTAACTTTAAATTTTTCTTCGATTGTACTGAACAAATTCGCTATTACATCAAATTCTTCTTTTGTTTATTTTACCCCGCATGCCCAACACACATAAGTAGAGTTTGTTTGTTTTCTCCTGTGCCAAGAAGGCTTTTCTAAAGATTCTCTGGTTTTCCTTCCTCCCACTATAAAAAACATACATGTGAAATGAGAGTTGCATCCATAGAATATTTGAATAGAATACTATTTGTCAACTTTGTTTTTATTTCATGGTTTTACTGCATGCGCTCTAATATAGTGTTTTATGGGTTAACATAGGTTTATATAATACAGTATATTATATTATTCTTAAAGTTGACTTTGACTGATGATGATGATATTCATAAGTGTTAGAATTAGCAATTAGTATTTTGATTATTATCCTTAAATGAAGGTGACTTTTACTGATTGTGATATTCATAAGTGTTAGAATTAGCAAAAAGTTTTATTTAAAGTATGCAGACAATCTAACAGATATGGAAATATTCTATTGCACTGAGGAGAAAACCAAAATAGAAGACATTGCAAGCCATTAAGTTTATAATTAATTATTTACATTGCAGTTTATAGTGTTTTATAGGTTATATATTGTTTTATCGTTTAACATTTTTGGTGTTTTTGTTTGCTCCTTAATAAAATTTTCCACATTTCATATATTCTTATCAACCAAGTGAGCTAGTTGAAACTGGGGAGTGGGAGAGGAATGTAATAAATTGTAGGAGGGGGTTTAAACCTACTCACGTAATATATCATTTTACTACCATTTTAAGGATTAAAAACATGACTAGAAGATTCTGCATTGTACATTGTATGTATAAAAAGTATCTCAGTGTCAGCAATTATATACATATATATAATTCCAATATGTATACAAGTATATCAAAAGCATATCAAAAATTATGGGATATTATCCCTGATATTTTTTTCCGAGTTGTCTATCACTAGGGTCTTCTGAAAAAAATATCATGAAAGATATCCCGTCATGTCTGATATACTTTATATTTGAAACGGCCATAATTTTTGCAAATAGCTGGTATATACACAGTCAACGTCATTAACGTTGTCCACCGAAAAAAGACCGCATTTACACATTTACACATTTACACTGTACTTTACGACCAGTTCTTTATTTAAAGAGCTCGGAGTCTGGTCCTCAATTGCGTAAACAACAAATTGGTTTCCTAAAGCTTCTCAGTTCCATTAAAAGGCTTGCTTTTCTACCAATTGAAAATCTGGTCCAGATCCTCAAAAAATATGAAAAACTGTAATTGAAATGTGATGGTTTGTGAATAGGGGAGGGACAAATGGCCACATCCAGGAATGAAGGTGCATATGATGATAGTGGAAACTATGAGCTGAAGGAATCCTTTTTCTCCTGCACTCTTACTAATGCAAAACCTACTTGGTCCACTGCAACAAGGTAACAATTAAGGTAGGAGATTATAAAGAATGCCCGGCATTTTGGGAAGCTAATTCGAATATTTAACGTTTGTGAAAAATAATGCGAAAAGTACCAATATGAAGTTGATTCGTAGCCAATATTTACTGTAA